CCCCCCCCCCCCACACACACACCTCTGCCTTCCCCCATATGCTCGCTCCCATCTCGTCCCCCTTCTGCCCCCCCTCCTGTGCTAGGCCCCGCTGCTGCAGGCTCCCGCGGTGGCTGCCCCCCCCCCGCCCCGGGGGCGCGACCGTGATGGAGACAAGGAACACCACAAGGTGAATACCCACATAGAGCCTCATGAGCCTCGGCGTGGATCGCGGGGCAGTGGACTGGCGACGGAGTGACACACCGACTGGAGACGATCGGACGGCTGCGAACGGGTGGCACACGTGGGATTTCTCTGTAGAGCTTGTCTGTAGGCGCTATACATCAATGCCACAAGAAACGAGGGGGTGCACTGCAGGATCCGTAATCGGTCGGGCGAGACTGCCTCCCGATGTTTCCTGCTCTCTTTTCCGTGGCCTCCCGCGGCCCCCCGTGGCTCCCCGTTGCCGTCCCTATTCGCACTCCGATCCGTATTCCTATACCCTTCCCTATCCCTAGGCCTACTATCCCCATACCCTTCCCTATCCCTATCCTGTTTTCTTATCCTATACCTCTATCCCCCATCCTGGATCACTATCGCTACATCCCAGGATCCTAGCCCTATGTCTCTACTCCTGCACCTATCCCCTAGTATCTTCCCGATACCCCCTATCGTGGCCCCCCTCGTGACCCCTCAGAGTGGCACCCATCGTAACTTGATAAAGCTATGTAGGGTATGATGCCGCAAGGGTGTCATTCGAATGTGACGCTGATTTGATGCCAGCGATGAAGATGCCGTCGAGGTCGTGGGCAAGCACTGCAGTTTAGCACCCAAGGCCGTCCTCGACAGAAAAAGGGTGTGAGCGTCGAGGACACACTTCGATCGAGAGAATTCGAATTGCACCAACACGCAAGATCAACATCACATCCGCACCGTGCAATTCCACTTCAGCAGCGTAACCCGGGACGCTGTAAAACAATTCGGCCCAGTTGGTCAGACTGCACAAAGGCCCAAACACGACATGTCTGGGGGCAGTTCGCATGATACAACGGGCAACCCATCAACAAAAAGAGAAGACACCTGCGTGCTACCTGACAGTATACATCGCGTTGGTGAGCCAACCACCACACACCGCACATTCAGATTTTTGTCTGGAGATTCAGGTAAGAGGTAATCCAAAGGGCATGCCTAATGCCCAAACGTGGGTTTCCGCCGCCAGACCTATGCTCTCCCAGTCGTTCGGTATTATCTTGATCCCCCTCCATCTGAACTGACTGCCAAGCGGCTGTGCCTGGTGAGCGTGAGCTCCGAGATGCCGCTGCTCTTCATTGCGACCTGCTCTCGTCTTTGGAAGGCATGCCGCATGTTGCAACATACATCCACAAGTCAGGCAGCGCATCCTCAAATCAAGCGGCGCATGTGAAGAACGCTCGTACATCCCTCCATGCTGCAAAGCTGTCGCTGACAGTGTCCAGATCACTGCCTGGGCCAGTGTTGGAATCCTACAGCTGGTGTTGCAGCAGACGCGAAGCAGCTGACCATGTGCACTGTACGATTATGGGTTCTGTGCTCGTACTACTGGGCCAATTGACCTCCCAGCGATGCAGCGTACCACTGCAAAGACTGCTGATCACCGAAGCTGCAAATTCCAAAATGCGATGCGCAACCCACGAAAAAGCGCTCAGGCCACCAGCCAACATTGGAAACACACATGGCCATGCCACAACTGACAGTGCATTTGACGAGGCCCCAGCCCAGAATGCCCGCCCATCTACTCTGAACACGCCCTTAAACGTAAGGACTCCTCGTCGCGTTAGTCATCGAGACGCCGCGCTCCTGCTGATCCCGCTCCTCATATCCCCCCGCCTCCTCACCCCCAGCGGGCCCCCGAGTCAGTTACTGCAGGTTCGTGTCGTGCCGACCCCGGCGTTGGTTCCTGACACCGCGCTGGATCGTTCAGCCCTGAACGATCGGCCGTCTCCGCGACGTCCGATCGTTCAACATCGATCGATTCTGGGTCGCCGGCGGCGTTCAGCCTTGAACGCCCGCGCTGGGGTCGCCGCCGGTCGACACGACGCGAACCTACCGTAAGCAACAACCCGCGTCCTCGTGCTGCGCGTGCTCCTCCCGCTCCTGCTGGTCCTGTTTTACTCCTCGCCCCTGCTCCCTCGCCCCCTTCCACCGCGGGCCGAAAGCCTCTGCCTCCTTGCCGCGAGGCAGCCGGGGGGGGGGTATGGGAGGAGGAGGAGGAGGAGGAGGAGGAGGAGGAGGAGGAGGAGGAGGAGCAGCATGAGGATGCGCGATGAGGATGCAAGGGCCGTGGAGGCCCATGCTAAGGTCGTTCGAAAGAGGTTGGCCAGCGAAAGCCGCCGAGGATGGGCCGAGGGGGCAAGGATGCAAGGGTGCCCTTGGGAAGGCTGCCCATCTTTCATCTGAAGGTTGACAGTATGCGCGCTAGCTGGTTTGGGACTGCGGGCGCCAGCGGGAAGCTCTCGGCAGTCCTGCACGCATCGCTCTCGGCCAGGCGGGGACGGAGAGCGAGATGTGAGGTCTGCGTGTGCCCCTCTGCCCTGACCGTGGCCAGCTGAATGGCACACGTGATGTGCGAAGCACTGGCAGGAGGCCCACCAAACGCCCTGCCTCCTGACTGAGCCTGAAGCAATGCCACCCTCTGGCTCATCGGAAGACAGGGTAAGTAATACCCGCGTTCCCTGCGGGAAAGCGGGCGGCCCATTACTGTCTCCGAAGCCGCCTGCTCTCTGCAAAGTCGCAGGCGGTGAGATGCAACATGCACAAGGACACAACTGCTGGAATTTGGCGCCCTCCCGCAGGCACGCGCTCCACTCGCAGGCCCCGCCCGCCCCCACACACTCCCGACACAGAGACCTACGGGCCCCCTCCGATGGAGCATTTGGCGCGGCGGGTGCCGGGGCGAACAACCATTCAGCTCTTATGTGGCCACGCCAGGAAGCCGCAACACGACCACACCACCACAACTTGTCAGGCGGGGTTGCCGCATCAGAGCGCAACAAGGGTCGACGGCAAAATGTTCATGAGCAGATGCTCACCAAAGAAACCATCGCACGCCAGGCGACACAGCCCAAGCCTCCTGGTCCAATGGGGCAAAGCATAAAACAATCATTTCGGTACAGCGGCGCGGCCCAGCAAAGCCTCTTGAACCGAACGTCGCTGGGGAAGAGAAGCGCTTCGCACCCAAAGGTACCACAATCCGTCTGGTCGCCAGGCCGCGTTTGAATCATCTACCCACTAAAATGACATCACTGGTACGCTTGGTATGTGGAATGTTGCCTGCATGACTCTATGCTTCCAGGTCGCCCGCGCACTCCCCCTCACTCTCCCCAGCCTTCGCTTTCCCCCACATCAGTCGTTGCCATCGCCTTCCATCCCCTTCGCAACTTACCCTGCGCTGGAAACTTACACAAGCTTCCCGTTTGGGGCGCCGCTCGAAGGCCTTGCCCGAGATCAAGCACAGGGCAGTGGCGATGGCCACTTGCAACGGCGGCTTGACGAGCGCCTCGTAGAGGCAATGACGCATCAGCGTAAAGACACAACCGAAAGCCATATCTTCGCAACAGCAGGGGCTGCCACGCACCTCGATGGATCACATGTGTCAGGATGCTGTTGATGCTGGGTGCGGGACACTTGCTAACATCCCGCGTCACCGAAGGGGCGGCAGAGAAACAGGGGAAGGAGGAGGATGGCGAAGGAGGGGCATATGAGGGAGACCGAACAAGATGTGGATGACGGGGCGGGAGCGGAGAAACGGGAGAGCAACGGCAAGGTCAGAAGAGAGGACGAGGAGGCAGATCGGAAGCATGAATACTGGGGCAGGAACAGGCGACAAGCATACTTGGCAAGCTGAGGCGACACACCTGGACAAAAAGGACAGAAGGGAGAGACGAGAACGGGGGGCAAAAGAGGATGAGGAGGATGAGGAGGAATAGGAGGACGAGGAGGGGGAAGAGGAGAAAGAAGAGGATGAGGAGGCGAGAGGGACGTGGCCGCGCGAGGGTGCGGGGTGGGGCGGCAGTGGGCTTAACCAGCGGGTGCAAGAGGGCGTGTGCATAACACGCGCGGCCCAACGCCTTTAGACGCCAAAGGCACGGACCACCAAGGTGGCAGGGCACAGTATGGGAGATGGGGACAAGGCGGAGCACACTCACTGGTAACGCACATGAGAGGCCTGCTCCTCCTCACCGTGTTCCCGTCCCGTCCCCTCCCCCTGCCCATCCTGCCCCTTCTCCTCGTCCGTCTCGTGGAACAGCCCTCACCCTGCAGTCGAAGAGCACCCTAGATAAGGAACAAGCCCCCCCACGCTCCATCAGTTAGACTTCGATGCCCCATAGAAATGAGCTGAAAAAAACAATGGACGAAAACTGAGCCACTCACCAACGAGAAGGGTTCCTTCTTCAGCGGCCCAACTGTAGTCCGCAACACCTCTGCCCAGGCTGCGGTCCAGACGCGCTGGCACTTTCGAGCGCACAGTTAACTGCGCAGGGAACCTGACATTCGCGTCGGATGTGGCCCTGCAAACACACAAGGATGCGCCTCGCCGATGCCGCCGTAATCCAATGTGATCTCCCATGCGCGGAGAACTACACGTTGCGCCCGGATTAGGGCTTACGCGCCCAGGAACTCTAGAAATTGGGGTGCGGTGACAATCCTGCCTCTCCCGGTCGGGCAAGTACGTGTCACCATGATCGCTTCTGTTGGAGACGTGTATATCAAACTGACTGAGTATTCTACATTCTGTCCGTTGTCGAGTGGGGACGGACTTGGCTCCAGACTGTTGGCAGCAAGTATGGTAGCGGCGGGTGCGGTGGCCCCCTGTGGCGATCGAGCGGTGCACAAGTGGCAGGAAATTACTCCTGCTCCTGCTTCTCCCCCGTCCCTCCAGCCTCCAACTTCTCTGTTCCTCCACATCCGCCTGCCCTGCCCCCTCCTGATTCTCTTTCGCAACCTGCCCGTCCTCTCACTCCACAGCGAACCTTGCAAGTTCGGTGTTCGTGCGGGCATGGTGCTCGTTCGACGTGGTACAGTCGGGTGCGTCTGCGCGCGTGCCGCAGTCAACGTCGAACCCAGATACCAGCATACACAACAATTTGCGGGCTGGCACGCCTCGGCAGTCGAGAGTCCCCATCTCAGCCACATCGCGATTCGCCACAATGCCTGGGCATTGAAGATACCAGCGAACAGGCGGACGTGTAGACGTGTAGACTGTGACTTCAACGGAGAGATCAGATGCAATAGCAGGCACACACAACACTTCCAGCAAGACAACTAGCGGGTTGGGAGGATTGGGATGGGAAGATACAGGGCACGACTGTGTAGTAAGCACACTCGATATGCACGATGATGCGGATGATCTGGTCACCTCTCCCAACCCCATCCCCCCACTCCGAAAACTGTCTGTCTGACATTTGCAGATGATGTGGAGCCGCTGGGGTCCAAGAGCCAAAGGCACAGAGAAGCCTTGGGCCTATGGCTGGCAGCCAGTGCCATTCCCTATACTGTGCTGGCCACGCCTTATCCTCCTCTACTTGTCCTCGGCAGCGCTGGAGAAGCGATACTTCATCCCCTGGAGCAAAGAAGAACCACATCGAGCTGCATGGCGCATCGCACGCCGACCCAACCCTTGCCAACTCTCCTGTGGATGAGGATGACGAGGCGGGAGGTGAGGCACTTGGAGTATTGCCTCCACCAAGAAAGCCGAGCCTTGTGCCAACTGAGAGAACGCGCATGGATTACATCGACCCTTCGCTGGGAACCTTTTCTTCTCAGCTCTGATGGCGCTTCCCTCCGGGGCTCAGAATATCCATATCCGTTGCCTTCTGGGGTCCTGGGGGATCGGTTCCCCAAGCGGTGGATACACCCTGCGAAATGCTTAAGAAATCATGGGTTAAGAAATTCATAGTCTCAGAACTTGAATAACAAGCCGGAACTTCTATCAAAATCTTGGGATTTTCACTGAAACGTTAAGAATAATCGAGACTCTGGCCGAAAACTTAGGTTTTCTTAAGCATCGCCGAAGGTGTACGTATGGTCGGGAACTTTGGCTTAGCGCGTCGCGCCGCCAGTTCTGGCCCACCACGCTTCAGCGCCACACGCTGGCCACTTCCCCATTCACGGGCGTCAGCGTTCCGAGCCTCTCCCCAGCCTCCCGGCCCGCGGAGAGGCGCGACACGCTGTCCGCTCGCAGGGCACAGGCAGGGCACAGCTTGTCGCCGGGGCCGACGCCGCGACACGCTGAGAAGAAATTCCCGGCCGCGCCATCCCTTGCCTCGGAAGGCGCGTGAGGGGGAGGAGGAGGAGGAGGAGGGAGGAGGGAGGAGGTAGGAGGAGAGGAGGAGGGGAGAGGGGGAGGAGGAGGAGGAGGAGCTGGAGAGCTCGCACCGCCCGCAAGGGGGGCCGAGGGCGCCGCGAACGAGGAGGCTCCGAGGCATGGGGGCGGGCCCCAAAGGCCGCCGCAGGGGCGCCGTCTCGCCATCGTTACGCGCTGGCGTCGGCGATGCGTCGCCGACAGGTCGGCGAGGCCCCCCCCCTCCTCCTCCACCTCCTCCTCCTCCTTCCTCCTCCCTCCTCCCCTCCTCCTCCCTCCTCCTCCTCCTCCACCTCCTCCTCCACCTCCCTCCTCCTCCTCCTCCTCCTCCTCCTCTCCTCCTCCTCCTCCTCTCCTCCTCCTCCTCCTCCTCCTCCATCCTCCTCCTCCTCCCTCCTCCTCCTCCTCCTCCTCCTCCTTCCTCCTCCTCCCTCCTCACCCCTCCTCCTCCTCCTCCTCCTCCTCCTCCTCCTCCTCCTCCCATCCTCCTCCTCCCCCTCCTCCTCCCCCCCCTCCTCCTCCTCACTCCTCCTCCTCCCCCCCTCCTCCTCCTCCTCCTCCTCCTCCCCTACTCCACCTCCTCCTCACTCCTCCTCCTCCTCCTCCTCCTCCTCCTCCTCCTCCCTCCTCCTCCTCCTCCTCCTCCTCCTCCTCCTCCTCCTCCTCCTCCTCCTCCTCCTCCACCTCCTCCTCCTCCGCCTCCTCCTCCTCTCCCCTCCTCCTCCTCCTCCTCCTCCTCCTCCTCCTCCTCCTCCTCCTCCTCCTCCTCCTCCTCCTCCTCCTCCTCCTCCTCCTCCTCCTCCTCCTCCTCCTCCTCCTCCTCCTCCTCCTCCTCCTCCTGCCTCCTCCCTCCTCCTCCCTTCCTCCGCCTCCTCCTCCTCCTCCTCCTCCTCCTCCTCCACCTCTCCTCCTCTCCTCCTCCTCCTCCTCCTCCTACTCCTCCCTCCTCCTCCTCCTCCTCCCCCCCCCCCCCCCGGCCGCGGGCCCGCACGCTCCTGGGCGGGGGCGGGCCGTGGGGCCCGCAGCGGCGAGGAGAGCGGGCGGCGCGGGCCCCGTAGCGCCGTGCGCCCCTCCCCCCCCCCCCCCCCCGCCTGGCCTCCGCGGAGGCGGGGAGCCCCTCGAACTGGTAAGGCCCCCTTCCCCAGAGCCAGGGCACCTCCCCGGAGCCAGGAAGCCTCCCTCGAGGCCCTTCGAGGAGGCCCCCCCGTGAGCCAGGGAGCCGCGAACTGGCAAGGCCCCCTCCCCACGCCAGGGCACCTCCCCAGAGCCAGGAAGCCTCGAGGCCTTTCGAGGAGGCCCCCCGAAAGCCAGGAAGCCTCGAACTGATCGGCAGTGAGTACCCCTAACCCTTGGGGAGGGGGCCTGAGTTAGGAGGGCCAAGAACATTAGGGATGTGGGGTCCCTCCTGCAGATGTGTCGGACCAAGCCATCTAGGTTCATGATATCTGATGCGAAGACGGTGACCTAAGTGAGGCCACGTCTTGACTTTGTTCTTAGGGTTAGGAGTTCTTCGATGCTCGATGACCGAACGTTGTCACGGATTTACGTACGAGAACGGCGCAACTGCGCCGTACCAGCTTTGGACTCCCTTTAAGCTCCGATCCAACGCGGTGCGATGCATGTGTTTCCGGTTCTGGGGGCCGAGCAAGTATGCATCGTACCAGTCCTGGGTTGAGGATCGACGCCTCGGGAGAATCAGACACGGTACGGTGCACACAAGGCGTCGGACACGTCATAGCGGACTTGCGCGGCTGGTCACGCGAGCCGCCAGCGCGGCACCCTACGGCAGAAGAGAGGGCGCGCACGCGCAGCCTCGCGCGGGCAGCTCACGCGAGAATGCCCGCGACGTCGACCGCACTCTCGCTCGTCGCTCTGGTGGGGGGGTAGACGGATACGTGGGCAGCGCCGGCGGAGAGGGGGAGCACCGTGGTGATACCCCACGGCAAAGACAGCCGCTGTGGGAACATCCACCGTGCGCGTGGAAGGAGGCCCAGAGAAGGTCGATAACCGTCGGCAGGCGGAGACTCAGCAGAAGAGCATGGCCTCGTCAGGCACGTCGGCGAACGCAAACTTACCAGCACGGACGCATCTGCAAAACAGCAAGCCGCAAGTGAAGAACAACAGCGACGACACTAAATGTCAATAGCGCAAGCCTCATTGATTATCACCCGCATGCTACATGATCGAGTTTCGCTTGGCAGTCGCCGCACATCACATAGACACGACGTAGGGATTCACGACACGACCCCTGGTCATGCAAGATGCGACTGGCCGCAATGGACCCGGAAAGCTCTGGCCAACGAAGCTGGTTCAGGATGCGCCGAAAAGGCTAGGGCTCAAGGGCATACTTGAAGGTTAATTTCGTCTTTGTTATGTGCGGCGACTGTAGGTTTACCGTCTCTTATGCCACGTTCTTCCCCTCGTGTCGCAATGCACTGAGCCGCTTGGCACGTGCGTGCCGGCGTATATAACTTTCGACGTCGGCGGCTCTCCCAGGGGCCCAACAAGCGAGGGAGAAAGAGAGAGTCCGGCCCCATGCGGGTCCCCAGGCCTGCGTTCCACCCGCGCCCATGCACAATCACGTTACCGCTGCGTGCGCGTACGAAGGCGTGCTTCCAGGTTGCGGCGCTGCCAGGGGCAGCTCTGTTTCTGCAAATGTGGTACGCGCACGTCTGCCGGAAGAGGTGGGCAAAAACACGAGGCAGGAAGGCGGATACAGTGGATTGGGCCCGGGCCCTCCCGGAGAAGAACGAAACGCAGCGAACGCATCATTAGCGGCTCTTGCAGCACGAAGTCGCTTGGAGCAGATTGGGCTCCGGGAGCCCAAAAGCACCTGCTTGAAGCGACCGGCGTGTACGCGCGCGCGCCCACCACACCCGCCTCCCTCTCGCTCGTCCTGCCCGCCCTCGAGGTGCCGCGCGCCCGACCTCCGCGTCCCGCCGCCTCCCGGCTGCCTCGGGCTCTCCCGCAAGCAGCAGCTCCTCGAGCGCAGAGGCCGGGGACGGGTCGGCTGCGGCTGCGCACGGAAACGCAGCATCAGAGTCGAGAGCCGCGTGCCCGAGCATTCACTGGTGCCCCGAGCCGGCAAACGACGCGCGAGGGCGTCGGCATCTTCCGCGCCGCGGCATGAGACCTTTGAACGAATCTCATGAATATGTAAATCTGCTGCCGCTGCTCCTCTCCATCTCCTCCTCCTCCTCCTCCTCCTGCTCCTGCTCCTCCTCCTTCCTCTCCTACGGCGACCCCTTCATCAACCCGATCCTCCCTCTTCCCTCTCTCTTTGCTCCTGCTTGCACGCGCATCTCCGTCTTCGCGCCTTGCCCCCCCCCCCCCCTCAGCGGTCCAGCGGTGTGTTGGGACACCCCAGGCGGGCGTCTCAGTTCAACTGGACCCACCAACAGAATCAAAGCGCCCCACGGAAACATCACTGTGAGCCGTCCTCCGTACCTCCAATCCCCCCCCTCCTCCCTCCTGAATCTTCACTGTCCTTCTGATTCTTCACCGTCCTTCTCCACCTCCTCCTCCTCTTTCCCCCCTTCTCTTCCTACCTTGTGTCTGGAAAGGAAGAAGATGTGGGCGGACCGCATGCACCACCCAAAACTAGTCCGCCAGGCAGCATGATTCACATGCGAACGTGGCCTAAACAAAATCGGCCCCAGACTCCCGCAGAGGAGAGGACAAGGAGGAAGAGGAGGAGGAGGAGGAGGAATAGGAGGAGGATGACTACAGTCATCGCGCTAAAGGAGCGCGCATTAAGAAACGAAGGGGATGTTCTAGCACGGCGAGCCTATGCCTATGCAACAAACAGGTTCCACGACATGATTCTGAGGAACGGGCCGAAAACCCAAGCTCCTCCTGAGCCCGAAGTGGTCCATATTTCAGCGCCTGACTGTATGTGGGGGCGGAGGAGATGGGAGAGAGGACGGACGCGACGCGTACGAATCCTCCATGGCTCCGCCAACATATTTTCGCCAAACACACAGCGGAAAAACTGGACACAGCGGCGCAGCCACGAAACGAGCGGAATCGCACGCTCGCTCCAGAGTTGGGGAAGGAGGCAGACTCAAAGGAAGAAGATGACGTCGAGAGGAGAACCCAGCTCAGAAAGTCGCGCGCACGGTGGACTCCGGCCTGGGTGGAATGCGTTCGCACAGTGTCGCACGCGAGCACGATCGAGGGGAGCGAGGGCAGAACAGTACAGTCGGGGCGTTGACCTAAGGAACCCTAAATAAGGAACGAGGCCCCTTTTTCCCAGTAGTTCAACCTCGATTTCCGATGGAAAGCCGCAGGAAAACCCGAGGCAAGCTTTGAAACAATCAAGGAACGCCGAGCCCCTCCACAACGAAAAGGGTTCCTTCTTCAGGGCCCCGACTGTAAACTGTCGGAGCTCCCCGCGGACCTCTAGAGTGGGACCCCCACTGGCGCCTCCGGCGCCAGGAGCGGCGCCGGGAGCGGCGCCACCCAAGGGGGGGGCCCAGGCCGGTCCGAGACACCCGTGCGGACCCCCACAGCTTGCGTGTCGCAGGCTTTCTTCGAGCAGGGGAGGGAGGAGGAGGAGGAGGAGGAGGAGGAGGAGGAGGAGGAGGAGGAGGAGGAGGAATGGGGGAGGACTGGGGGAGGTGGGGGCGGAAGAGCGCGCGGCCCGCGCGCTCTCAGTGTCGAGTCAGCGCCGGTCCGCTGGTGTTCGCACGAATGCTCCCCCACGAGTGCGGCCCCACGGGGGGGCGGTCAAAGAAGCACCCGTGGGCGATTAGACAGCACGGACGCGGCAGCCTCAGCGGCAAAGAGGAACACAGAGAGACAAAGACAGACAGAGTACAAGAGTACATATATATATATATATATATACATACATACACATACATACATACATACATACATACATACATACATACATACATACATACATAGAGAGAGAGCAACAACAAAAAACGCAGAAATAAGACGAACCGAGGTTTTCATATACCAACCATGTTCTTTATGACACGGGTCCTCGTCCTGGACCCTGGACACCCTCTGACTCCAACTCCGCCGTGCTTTGGGCGATGTGGTCAGTGGCGCTGGGAATACTGCCGTACTTTTCAAGTTCCTTTCATGCCGAGTTCCGACATGCTTCGCTCTCTCATGTTCTGCCATGCATCGGTGGAGATGTCCGCCCTGGTTTTCCGAGGTGGAATTTTCTGCCATGTCTTTTCGTATCCTTCAGCCTTCCAACAGGACCCGTGTATCTCAGGACCGGGCCTGCCGAGCGCTTGTGCTTCCTGACCCTGCCGCGCTGCGACGAAAGCACAGTCCCTGCGACCCGCCTGCTTCCTGGCGCGATGCATTTTGGACTCCTCCTCCCGCCTCAGAGGAGGCCTAGGCTCCTCCCCGCGCCGGCTCGTGCGGGCTGGGGGCAGAGGAGGAGGAGGAGGAGGAGGAGGAGGAGGAGGAGAATGAAGATCGGGATGGGGTTCGTGGAAGCTCGTCTGCTGCTGCTTATGACATGCCAAGCTACTGGCTACCGAGAGTGACGCAGAGAACCTCTGGAGGCGAAACTGTGCAGTCGTTAAACCGTCTGATGCGACCCGTGGCTCATGACGGACGCCGCACCGCCCCTGCGAGCGAAGAGGAGGAGGAGGAGGAAGAGGAGGAGGAGGCGGAGGAGGAGGAGGAGAGGAGGAGGAGGAGGAGGAACGACGCCACGAGCCCCGCTCAATGTCTGCCTAACGGAAAAAAAGGAGGAGGAGGAGGAGGAGGAGGAGGAAGAGGAGGAGGAGGAGGAGGAGGAGGAGGAGGAGGAGGAGGAAGACGAGGAGGAGGAGGAGGAGGAGGAGGTTCATATACCGACGGCATATAGAGGAGGAAGAGGCGGAGGAGGAGGAAGAGGAGGAAGAGGAGGACGAGGATGGGGAGGAGGAGAAGGAGGAGGCGGAGGAGGAGGAGGAGGAGGAGGCTGAGGAGAAGCAGGAGGAGGAGGAGGAGAAGGAGGAGCAAGAGAATTAGGCACCGTATGAAGTAAACACTATGTGACTTAGGCACCAGGTTGGTTAAGCAGCGGTTGAGGTAGGCATTGGGTGGCGCAGGCGCTGGGTGAGTTAGGCACCAGGTGAAACAAGCACCACGTGAGTTAGGCGCCGGGTGAGTTTGGCGCCAGGTGAACTAGGCAAAAGGTGAGTTAGACATCTGGTGAGATAGCCACCAGGTGAGTGAGGCACCGAGTGACTTAGGCACTAGACGCGGGGAGAGTTTTGCACCGGGTGAAGTAGGCACCAACACTGGGTGAGTTAGGCACCGGGTGAGTTCAGCAACGGGTGAATTATGCTCCAAATGAATTAGGCCCCACGTGAGTCATGCACCGGGTGACTTAGGCACTGGGCAGACTGCATTTTTTACCGCGTCTCCTACCTTTGCCACTACGGCCGTTTCTCTTCCACTGTGGGTTACCCTGGTTTTAAGAACAGCTACGTTCTGTAGCGCGTCCTCTGTTTGCGCCCGTCCAGGCGTTGTCACCGATTCCCTCCACGATGCCTCCAAGACGCTCCAAGAGCTCCCAAGATGCAGTGCCCCGAGAGACGAGAGAGACCCGAGAGGGTTCCAAAATGGCCCCAAGACCTCCCACAAGAGCCCTTAGAGGATTACAAGAGTCCCAAGAGGGCTCCCAGAGGCGATGTTGAGGACTCTGTCCTCGTTCTGGTGCTCCTCTTCCTCCTCCTCGTCCTCGTCCTTGCCCTCATCGCCTTCCTTTCATGTTCCTCCTCTTCTTCGTCGTCGTGATGCTGGTCGTCGTCGTCGTCGTCGTCTTCTTCTTCTTCTGAGTTGTTTTTCCTTCTTATTCCTGCTCCTCCTCTTCCTCCTCTTCCTCCTCCTCTCGCCCCCACGCGGGCTCCAAGGATGGACCCAAGAGGCCATCCAAGGCCACCAACTTGCTCCCAGAGATCTCTCTGTCCACCCTGGCTGCCTGCTCTGTTTTACTATCGAGGGCGCCTGCGGCGAATCACCGCCGCCCCCTGCCTTCTAGAATCGCCCATGTGGCCGAGCGTTGTGGCAAAAGCTCTGCCAAGCTATCGGACCATGAGTTCCCCCAACGGTTATGGAAACCCTTCCGGGAACACTTGGGGGGAGGATGGCGGGGAAGATCAGGAGGAGGAGGAGGAGGAAGAGGAGGAGGAGGAGGAGGACGAGGTGGAGGAGGTGGAGGAGGGGGGGGGCATATTGGGAGCCTCTGGGGGCACGTTTGGGGCCTCCTGGGAGCTTCCTGGGAGCCTCTTGGAAGCATCTTGGGGGCCTCCTTGGGCCTCTTGGGGGCCGTCGGGGCTTCTCGGGGGCATCGTTGGCCGTCTTGGTGGGCTCCTGGCCCGTCTGACGCTGTCGGAAGCCGTCTTGGGGGCCTCTCTGGGCCGACTTGAAGCCCTCTTGGAATGCTTCAGGGCCGTCTTGGAAGCTTTCTTGGGCGTCTTAGAGCCCTCTTGGGCTGTCTTTGGGCCCTCTTGGGGCCATCCTGGAGGCCTCTTGGGCGCTCTCAGGGCGATCTTTGGGGGTTCCTAGGCCGTCTCGGGCCGTCGGTAGGCTGAAAAGAAGCAAATGCTCAAATCCTTCAAAGAACCCAAACCAATGATTTGGCCGCTTCCGGCCTTCCTGGAGGCCTTCTTGGAGGCCTCTTGGACCGTCTTGGGCCATCTTGGAGACATCTTGGGCCGTCTTGGAGGGCTCCTGGCCCGTCTGACGCGTCGGAAGCCGTCTTGGGGGCCTCTCAGGGCCGACTTCAAGCCCTCTTGGAATGCTCCAGGGCCGTCTTGGAGGCTTCCTTGTGCTTCTTAGAAGCCTCTTGGGCCGTCTTGGAGCCCTCTTGGGGACGTCTTGGGGGCCTCTTGGGCCGTTCTGGGGCCATCTTGGAAGCCTCTTGGGCGATCCGTGGGGGCTCTTGGGCCGTCTTGGGCCGTCGGAAGGCCGAAAAGAAGCGAATACCACAATCCTTCAAAAACGTAAGTGAAATCAACCT